TCTTCTGCCTTAGCTGAGACTGCAAAAACTGTCCGCTGTCACCCCTCTATTTCTTCAGTCCTCTTTCCCTGGGCTTTGGGGGTAGAGATGATTTAACTGAATAGGAAGGATAGACATTTACCAGAAGCAGAACAGGTTACTTGCTCCTGAAATACCCAGGGATCTGAATATTGAGCTTCAGCCAGGTGACTGGAGCAGAGGAACCACAGGATCCAGAAACAGCGAGTTCCTGGGGGTTGCTCTCTCCAGACCTAGGAAACAAGAGATGTACAAAATGACCTCTAGGAGGTACCCAGCCTCTAGCCCAGTGCCCCTACCTGAACCCCTTTGATCACCCTTGCTGACTGACCTCAAATAATACCACCAAGTCTGTAGGGAGTTAAGATTAAGCCAGATCTGGTAACTCAGTTCTCCCTGGCCACTCCCCATTCATAACATCCAAGCACACAAATGTTGCTAAGCTCCCAGTCCAGAGCATCTCCCAGTTCTCACAGCAGTGTCCCACCCAGTCCCCATCCTTTGAAAGTCTCCTTCAGCATCTAGGTCATGGATCTGGAAGTCATTCTGGGCAATGTTGCTCTCTCTGACCCCACCTGTTCTCTGAGCCCCTAATAAAACAGGACAACTCAGGCTGCAGGCCAAGTCCTTGTGTCCTCATCAAAGGCGACATCTGTCCCCTCCAAGAAGCTAGCCCTGGGGGGAGGGAAGGAGACAGGCACAAGGGAGAAACCTTGATCTTGCCTAGGCCCTCACCCCAAATTCCACTGCAGGTACAGATTATGGGTAGTGGCCCAGAGAGCCACAGAGGTCTGTATTCACACATGCCCTCACAGGCCTTCATACCTCTGAGTCCCTTCACATGAGAGCCCCTCCTGGGCTTACCCAGCTACCTGGGCTGCTGCTGTTGCCAAGCGGCCTTCTTTTATTCATGCGTTGTTTTATTGCTGGCAAATGCTGCTGCTTGCTGCTGTTGGAGGCGTTCCTGCCAAATCCATCCCAACATCTTGGCCTGGCATCAGGGCGGCATGCTAATGTGGAAATTTAAAGAGCCGCTCGGCTTTAAATCGGAATTTTAAATGAGCAGCAGTGCTCCGAGGGGACCCAGGCAAAATCTAACAGTATCTGATCTACCCTTCCTCCTCCTACACCCACAGTCTTACCACAAATTCCTCCCACCTCTCTCTTTGATTTGGACACTAGGTAAAGTGATGGCATGAAACATACCAGCAGAAGACGGAGTTACTGGGACAAGAATTGTTGCAAGTTGGGGTCCTCTAGACTAGTAAGGAACTAGGGTCCCCCACTCAAGACCAAGCCAAATGAAAGACAAGGAAGCAGAGCTAGGAATGGTGAAACCATTCATTCCTCACTTCCTGTTTTACAAAAACAAAAACGTAACATACACACCAAACAAAACAAACAAAAAACAAGAAGAGCCTTGCTCTACAGAGGAGGCAAGGTTGAATTCCATGAAGACACTCATGCACACCATACACTTGAACACATGCAGATGTGTGTACACAGCTGTGTGTGTAGTTTGGTTAGGATGCTTGTTGAGGCCCCTACAGGGTGTGTCCACAAAACTCATATGTGTGAGCTATTCACAGGAATTATTCATACTCAGGACAGTCCTCTTTCTTCCCACATTTAGTCCACACTGGCTTTAGCAAATTATTAGCATGAACTATGGCCCAGGTTTTTCCATGGATCTTACATTCACAGCTCCTGGCAGCTACCTTGAGTCAGCTGTGGTGATGGAACCCTGCAGTTTTTCTGCCAGGATTGGGGCAGGGGCACCTGAGGTCAACTTTTGCACCTGTCTTAGCCACAGTGTGGTGCCTCCTCTGGTGGCCAACAGATGACAGGCTCAGACATCTCACCTGGGATGCATGCTGGGCACTGCCTTGGTCTCAAAGGGAAGAGGAGGCTAATCAGAATCGAGAAAGGCAGAATCTGTGCCTCTCTGTGATCCTCTCTCCTTCCAAGTGGCCTCTCATTTTCAGAAGATATTTGTTGAGTGCCTGCCTACTTTTTTGGATTGTTAGCCTCAAGAATCTGGACATGCTGTTCTCATTGGGGGAATCCACAGAAATTCACATGGTGACCTCAACCTAACCCTAAGCTGCTACACCAAGGGATGCTCCCAGATCTTCCCTAAGGTTCCTCCTCCCTCAAAGAAAATGGCTTTTCCAGGAGCTAGTGTGGCTGCCAGCCAAGAGGCTTGGGGCAGGGCCTGGGGCATGCAGCTGGCACTTGCCTACTAGACCCCCCAAGGAACCCCTCCTCCACTCCCATAGCCCCATTCAGATGGCTCTTGGGCTACAGGAAAACAGAACTGTTACCCATTCCTAGAGGAAAGTTTGAGCTAAAAAGGGCCTCACTTGTCTCTCCATTATAAGTTGCTCCAACATCCTTCACCCAGACTAGATAAACTAAAGACCACCAAGCAATATTATATGGGTTGAGTTAGGGCTAGCTGGGAAGGGAACTTGAGGCCTGTGCTAACTTTCTGGAAGAAGGTGTTGAGGTCATGAAATACATGAGAATAAACTCCTGTACTTTTGCTTTTTTTTTTTTCCTGAGACTGGGACTCAAACTTGTCAGCTGACACTTCCTGTCCTTGGCTGGTGCTCTACCACCTGAGCCACACCTCCAGCCAATGGATGAACAACTTAATGTATGATAAGACATGAAGTGCTGGGAATGTTGCTTAATGGTAGAGTGCTTGCAAGCCCTGGGTTCAATTCCTCAGGCTGGAAGTGGTGCCTTGGCTCAAGTGGTAAAGTGCTAACATTGAGCAAAAGAAGTTCAGGGACAGTTTCCAGGCCCTGAGTTCAAGCCCCAGGACAAAAAAAAAAAAAGATAGGATATGAAGAAGGGCTGATGAATCTGCCTCTCTCATTTAATTAGCAACATGTAAATAGTATGCAAACAATACCTTCTTTGCTTAGAGACCACTAAGCCTCTGATTTTTGAAGTGGATTCCCAAGGGACTTCTTTTTTTTTTTTTTTTTTTTGGGTCCAGTCATGGGGCATGAACTCTGAGCCTGGGTGCTGTCCCTCAGCTCTTTAGCTCAAGGCTAGCGCTCTACCACTTGAGCCACAGTGCCACTTCCGCCTTTTTTCTATTTGCTTATGTGGTGCTGAGGAATCGAACCCAGGGCCTCATGCATGCAAGGCAAGTGCTCTACCACTGAGCCACCTTCCCAGCCCTCCCAAGGGACTTCCAAGCAGCATCTCTGATACCCCCAAAGGATGGGACAGTCAGGCTAAGGAGAAAGACCTGTGCTTCTAGCTTATTCCCTAGATGGACTCACTTTCCCTACTGTGGGCCTCAGTTTCCTTATATTGGATGGTGTCTAAGGTATTTTTCCAATGCTAACAATATAGGGTTCTCTGTTCTGGGACCCAGTGCCAGCATAGGGTGGAAGGGTTAAGTCAGTCCTAGGGTGGAAGTCAAAGCCCTTGGCTTTCTTGCCCCAGCTACCCACCTCAATTTTGTCATACCATCCTACTCCCCCACCCACACACATGCCATCCCAAGCATAGGCAATTTCTCAAAGGCAGTGTTCTCTCTCTCTCTTATCCCATGCCTTCACCCTCACTGTTTCCTCTGTCCAGAATGCCCTTCTTGTGCTTTAGCTCTTCATCTGACTAAACTCTGACTGTCACAGCCTTTTCTCCTCCACTCCCTTGTGACAAGGTGCCTCACTCCTGAGTGCCTGGGTACAGTTTCTCTCTTTTCCCATTAGACCATGAATTTTTAGTTTTGTTCAAGACTGAATTGTGAGTATAAGTATATTCATTTTTTTAAAGCTACTGTGTAACAAATGACCACAATGTTGGTGGCTTAAAACAACAGAAGTGGCTGGGAATGTGGCTCAGTGATAGAGTGCTTGCTTAGCATGCACGAAGCCCTAAGTTCAATTTCTCAATACCACATAAACAGAAAATGCCAGAAGTGGCACTGTGGCTCAAGTGGTAGAGTACTAGGGACAGTTCCTTGGGCTTTGAGTTCAAGCCCCAGGACTGGCCAAACAAACAAACAAAAACCAAGTTCACTTTCTCACATTTTTGAAGGCCAAAGTTTCAACATTCACTTCTCTGGGCCAAATATCAAGCATCAGCAAGAACTTACTCTTTCTGGAGGCTGTACAGGAGAATCCATTCCTAGTGGCTACTGGAATCCCTTTGCTGTGGGCTAGTCACACCAGTTTTCTGCCTTCCTCTTCACATCACCTTTTAATCTTTAGGCTTATTCTCTCTCTCCTTCTGTCCTCCTCCCTCCCTCTCTTCTTCCCTCCTTCCCCCCCCCATCATATAATTAGGATTGAACTCAGGGTTGCCCACATGTTAAACAAGCACTCTGATGCTGGGCCACATCCCCAGTACACTAAACTTTTATTTTGAGACAGTGTCACTAAATTGCCCAGACTGGCCCAGACTGGAATCTTCTGGCCATAGCCTCCCTAGTAGCTAAGATTACAGACATTCCTCTCTTTTCAGGACACCTGTGGTGGCATTTAGAGCCCACCCACATGATCCAGAATAATCTCGTCAGCTCAATATTCTTAATTATATCTACAAAAACTCTTTCCAGCTAAGGTAACATTCACAGGTTCTGAGAATATATCTTTAGGAATATAATCAGACTACCAAAATAAGCAAGGACATTTAAATGTTTGCCAGTTATTAAGTATCTCCATGTACCAAACATGGCAGACATTGTTCTCATCTAAATCTTAGAATAACCCTGAAAAGTAGATATTAATGGCTGTATTCTAAAGCCAAGGAAACTGAGATTGAGTCACCTACTAAAGGTTTCATAGCTAGTAAATGATAGAACTAGAAACCAAATGAGCTTGGTTCCAGAACCAGTATGCTTTTGTCTCACCAACAGCCTCTGAGCCTAACCCAGACACTGGCACAGATGCTTTTGCCTGAATGGACATGCAAAAAAAATAAAGAAAGAAAGGAGAAAGGTGCACAGGAAGGGAACCTGAGGCCAGGCTTTCCTAGTGATATGAACTCAAGCTTTCTTTTGCCAAGCAGTCTTACCACTCCTCTAATCCTCTTCCACCAACCCTGACCCCCTTTTTTTTTTGCAGGAGCCTGGAATCACCCCAGTTTGCAGCCCCCTGCCAACTACTGCTGCCCAGAATGGTGGCAGAGTGCCTGGTCTTCAGACAGGAGCTATCAAATCATAGAACCAGAGGGACATCTGGAGGTCACCTCATTGAGCCCTCTGCCGGCATCCAGTCCTGCTCATGAAGACAGCGACAGACAAGGTGAGGTCAGCGGGCAGTAGAAGAGTGAAGTTGCCATCTCTTCCTTCAGCTACCCTTTCTCCTGCCACACCTGTTAACAATTTCTATTACGTATCCTCATTTAGATCTGACCTTCTAGACATGCACAATGAAAACTGGCGGGGATCAGAAGACCTATGACCTAGTCCTGGATTCTCCAAAAAGTAAGTCCAGATTTTTGGCCAAGTCCCTTCAACACTCTGGGCCTCTAATTCTTCATCTTTAAAATGGGATAGATAGTGGTGGCAATGAGAGCGCCCCTCTCACATGGCTATGGGGGGTGGGGAGAACACAATGGGGGGGCGGGGTTTGGAGTAAGGCAGGTGCTGCAGGAATATTTTATCACAGCCCCTCAGCCCTCCAGCCAAAACCCCTTCATTCTGAATAATCCTGCTCACCTCAGCCAGTGTGGTCTGCCTTGTGCGCTAGACTGTGAACGTCTCCTGGCAGGATCTTGCTCATTTTTGTAATCGCTGCCCGTTCCCGGGCAGGCAGGCTCAATATATATTTGATCAACGAGTGTGGGGGTGAGTCAGATCCCCAGTGCTGACACCCACCACCACCAACCCTCCTTCGAAGGACTGTTCGCTCTGGGGTCCGGACAGCCGAGGTAGCACGGCGGAGAAAGGACGCGCTGCAGCTTTAAGATTTCTCCCGGGCGTCCGGTTGCCAAGGCGCGGTTGCCAGGGGCCTGCGCGGAGCGGCGTCCGGCCTTCG